CTCATTTTTCCTCTTCTTGGTTTTTGTTCTTTTATTAGTAAAATCAAAGGATGACATTGATTGGGAATTTTCGATTCTAGCACAACAGCAGTTTTCATTCATTTTAATCCTATAATCCCATTCTAGACCTGGACTTGTATTTACTGTTTGCATTTTAACCAGCACAGTCCCAACTGGCTTGCAGCCTATGCACCTTTAATATAACCTTGGTGAAGGGACAAAGTAGGAAAGGAAAGGCGAACACGGAACTGCCTGGAAAGAACTGCTGCGACAGATTTGCTCAATGTCCTACAATACACTCGGTAATTTTAATCATGTTGATAAATCACATTAAAGCATAGATTTTTAAGGGGGAAAAAATCTGACTTACGGACAAGTGTGATTTGTTTTCTTAATTGAAGGATAAACTCGTAACATGCTGAGAAAAAATCATTATGTAATATACTACATTATGAAGATAATCTATTAAAGTGCACTCAGAGTATGAGAAAACAGCTACAATCATAGAATAGTTCTTGCCTGCAGTTTTTAAAAAATGCTTCATCCTGAGTTTGCTCTCAGAATTGATATATACAAAAATAGCAACTGTTAACCCTCAAAGTTGAATTTTTTTCTCTTTTCAATATCTTGAAATATTTGAGTAGTATTTTAACACTGATACACAGAAGAGTGTGACAAAAAAACACCACCATGACCCTTGGTGGAAAGCACCCCATCTTTCCTCTTAATACATATTGCAGCCAGCAATACTTTAGCTTTCTAGACAGAATATAATTAGAAACACAAGTATTGTGTGATCCCCATTATCACCAAGAAATGGAGAAAAGTTCTGTTTCCATATGAACACAGTTGAAAGGCTATTGATCCAGGATTCTTAACTGAGCAAAGTGCAAACATGCATTTTTTTTTTTTTAGTTATCACAGATTTCGTTATCACTCAAGTGATGGAGGGAAATACAGAGTCAACAGTTTACAAATGGGCTTTAAAACCATCTACTTTATTCCTAACTTCTCTGAAATTAAACACCACCAACTGTTAATAAATCACAATCACAAAGCATTCTAAAATGACCATTTCTCTCTAATTTATTTTGCTTTATCGTGCAGTCTCTTGGGAGAGAACATCACGCTGCAAATCGTGCCCAGTCTGATTCCAGAATCTAAACCCATGATTATTTTTTTAATTAAAAAATTCATTTCTTGAAATTCTTCTAAATTTAAGTGGTTTAATCCATCCCTAATCTGATAAGTGAATAAGAGGAGGGATGGGAAGTAGGCAATCAAACATAGCCTCCCTACTTACTGCTCTTCTTTGTAAGTAAAGCCTTGAATGGAATTTGCCCATCACAGAGATCCCCAAGAGAATTCTGTTTCTATGAAGGAGATCACAGTAGTCAAGATTAGTGGTAACCTTTTGATTTTAGCCCAGCGAAGGGTGAAATATATTAATATTAAAAATGCAGAAATAGAAATTTTTCTTAGTGACCTACTATCCTAGAGCCATATATTATAGCTACCAAAGGATTTCTAACTTGTTCAACATACATGATTTCCTTAAAACATTAACTTCTTAAGAGGACTTCGTGACACAGAATATAGGACTTAGAAAATGAAAGCATCTTTGAAAGCATCACCCTTGTCTTGCATCAGTGAACTATGTGTTTTAAAAAAATGCCATCCAATTTTTTTTTTCATAATGGCAAACATCAACACGGCCAAACAGGATGCAATTTTTCTAAATAAATAAATCAATGATGTGTCAAAAATTAACAGATGAGTTAATATACTCGGTGCTATCAAAACCAGATGGTGCTTCCTAATATTCATCCTGCTCAGTCAATCCCTGAATATTTTCTGGACCATCGGTATATAAAATAGGATGCTGCTATTTGTGATGGCAAACAAAAGCAATCACGCCTGCCAAGCACATACTATAACAGGCAGCATTTCAGCTCTGCTAGACAGAAAGTAATTAGAATGCTTTTAATGTCCAAAAGAATGATGCTGATAGGCTGCCACAGATGTGTAGATTTATGAATATTTATATGGTGGTTTATAGCTGACACTTTTATCAGTTGAAGAAGATAAAATATCTGCCTGACTCAAAAGCTTGACAGTCAGGTTAATAAAATCTCATTAAAGAGAATGACCTATGCAATTATATAGGATTTATTGTAATTCATTTTTGATTGTACTCTGCTTAAAGATGCAATTTCCCATTTCCTGATGCCAAATTTAGGCTGCATATCAAGATCTACGTGGGTTTTAACTCTAAGCCTCCCACAGAGGAAAAATATGCTTTTAAAACCGTGGTGTATTACCCCTTTTAAGGAAAATTATACTCTTCATGAGATTTTAGAAGAATGCTGAAAAAAAATCTATTTTTAATCATATACTTCTCTTCTCGGGAGTTTATGGCCTTAATGGCAAATAAGACTCACTTCAATCCTTTCATCTTTTCACTGCATTTACTCTGGACACTCAGTGAAGTCTCCTCTGTCCTCAGTTTCATCACAGCCATGTTTTGACTATTATTAGTTTACCAGGTGGCCTGAGACACTGCAATTATACTTCTGTGAGAGTGCAACAAGCAGTGTGCCACCCCCACCCAACCCCACCCAGTATGCTTAAATAGCCATGGGTCTGTGCACACATGCTCATTGGTTCAAAGTGGAACCACTAGTTTCTCAAAGAACCAATCAGCTCTTCAGATGGCTGTCCCTCTGATGGCCACTCACATGACTGTGCCTGTTAAGAGATGGCTTTGTCCATCAGTGATTAATATTACTGACCACAATTCAAGATGTCTCGTTCTATGGCCTTTACCTCCCCCCCACCCCCTGTACTATTTTCCCTTCTGCGTGGTAGAAACCTACTAGCTAATTCTTTCCCATCTCTCCAGCAAGCACTAGGCATCCAGCCTCAGTGCTACCCAGCTCACCACTCTTTCTTAACAACAACAAAAAACCTTGAAAATAAAAACAAATAAAGGGAAGTTTGAAGGGTATCAAAAAGCCCCCTTTTGGTCCCTTAGAGTCAATGATGGAAGTTTCCACCTGGGAACAGAGACAAAATAAACAGGATGTAAAAGAAACATTGAAAGAGAACATAGAAAAAGGGGGGGGTGGGGTGGAAACCTTCCCATGAATGAAAGCTTGCAGAGAGCCGCCAGGGTAGGGAAGGATAAACAAGAAAGTGGTGCAGATAAAAAAGAAACAATACCAGGCAGGATAAAACTGTGGGTGAAAACGGAAATTTGAGGGTGCCGATTTACAGTGCCTAAAGGGAAGTAGAAGATCAAAAGACAGTCAGCAAGCCTGAAAGGAGGAAGCAAGAGGTGAAAGACGGCCCTGGGCAGATGGAGAGAAAGGAGAAAACCCCAGAGGACATGCTAGAACTGAGGTTATGCAAAGGAGTAAGCGAAATATAGAAAACGCAGAAGGGACCCAAATGGCTGGAAATCAACATAAACCAGAAAGCTAACACTGGGGCCAACAAGGAGTTCAGGAGAAAATAAGACCCTGAGCCCAGAAAGAACAGAAGTTCAAAAACAGAAGAACGCTAAGGAAGAAAACGAAGAGGCTGAGCAGCATAACAGAGAATATGAAAACACCATGGAATACTGGGCCAGGAACAGCTGGAAAAATGCACCCCACAAGCGATACAGACGCCCACGGGAGACCACCACTCAAATCCTTCAAGCATCTGCAGATCAGTGAGGGATGCAACACACCAAGTCCTCACCATAACCTGTGATTAGATTTTCTTTCTCAAAAATCAATCCTTCGTGTTAAAATATTGACAAACAACAGCATATTAGCAGAGGTATCTGTAACTCATTTACAGAAATGCCCTCCTATTTTCCTTGGGGGGAAAAAAGTCTTAGATTCACTAATATGTAGCATTGGTATTGGTGGGGGGTGAGGGGGGCTCCAAAGTGCCATAAAAGACCGAACAGGAACTTTTAGTTCTAATGAACCGATAAACGTGGCTGTGCCCTGGAGAAGTGCAGAGCGTCCTTGGGCACAGGCCCCAGACTGTGACCTCTCCACCAGTCCATCTCCCTCACTGCAGGCGCACAGCGAGTTGGACAATGGGCGGAGGGGGAATAAGGGAAGGGATACTGCAGACTCAGGTTAAGGGAGGGGAGTCTCGACCCTTGGGAAAGTGTTCCCCACAAGGCATTTAGACAGGGTTCCCGAGGAGATGAACGCGAGGGACACCACCCTGCCGCGGGTTAATAGCCAGTATCCCATGGACCGGGCCAGGGGAAGGTGACTACGTGGGAGGTGGGGCCCCGAGTGTCCCCGGCTCTAGGAGTTAAGGGGAGGGGGTCGGATGTACCTATCCCAGCCTGAAGATTACTGGGGCGAATGCCAGTCCCACGGCGTGGCGCAGAGACTGGTGTTGTGCGCCCACCAGCTGGGACGATGGGGTGTGTGGGGAAAGGGTAGAGAACCACAGAGACAGCGCGCGCACAAGGATCACAAGCGCACAGAGAAGAGAGAGAAACAGGGACGCCGAAAGCCAACGGCGTGGTCCGTGACAGCCTGAGTGCATCAAGGAGGTGAAGAGGACCAGGCAAAGGAGCAGGAAGAAGGAAAAACAAATAGGGGAAAGAGGGAAGAGAAAGGTAAGAAGTGGAAGGAAGAGTGATGCAGCCAAGGGTGAAAGGAGGTGGAACCGCAGAGGCGCTTCAGCAGCTCCAGGTTCTCCCGAGCGACTGCCACTGTCACCCTAAGGGTTGGTCCCGATCCCCGACCCTCGCTCGGGCGACCACTGCCGCGGTTCAGCCCCCGCCAGCTTCCCGGACGCCGAGTCCGCGCCGCGGAGCCACCTGTTAGGCGCGCGCGCCGTCGGAGGCCGGGACGCGGCGGCGAGGGGATCGTCTAAAGTTGCTGTCCGCGCGTGGGGCGCGGGCTTCTCTGGGTGCTCTCAGACACCCCCACTCTCCCGCTGGCTGTGCGGGGTAGAGTGGCGGCGGCCCCCGGCTTCTACTTTCCGGGTGCCCTGCCCCTCCCCCCGGCAGTGGCGGGAAGGAAAGTTGAGCCCAAGAGTTGGTACCTGCGCTGAGCTCCAGGCTGGCGCCGTCGCTACTGCTGCTGCTGCTGCTGCCCGCGGCCGCC